AAGATCCCTAGACAATTCATATGTTCATTACAGTTTGAGGAGTGCTAATCTAGAATACATAATCAAACTTTCTTATCCTTGAAAACTTTTGTTCAAGCCCTGAGTTATTTTTTAAACATCCAATAAGAAGGGCAACACTATTTTCAGCTATCTTATTTATGCTGTTTATTTAGAGTTTGTGAAGAAGGATAAAAGTCACTTTTGTAGTGAATCTTGAGATTTGTATATATATATGAGAGAGAGAGACAGAGAGAGACAGAGAGAGACAGAAAGAGAGAAAGAGAAAGAAAGAAAGAAGAAAGAAAGAAAGAAAGAAAGAAAGAAAGAAAGAAAGAAGGAAGGAGTAGGGGGAGGAGAAGAGAAGGCCAGTTACAGGCTCTGCTGGATATTTTGCCAGATGAACAAAAAGAGATTGCGAATTTTGGTGTACAATATTGACTTACTAGAAGGTGGAAAAGAAAAGCTGGTTATTTACTAATAGGACATAGCATTTTAGAATGCTTCTCCTCCATAATAACCAGTAGGCTAGACTGGCAAGGCTATGAAGAAGGGAGGATCAACATGGGAACTTATTAATTTATTTGACCATCAAATTCTCAAGATTGGTCAAGGAAAGGATTGCTGCAAGTTAATAGAAAGGGAACAGGAGTGGTTACTTTTATTGGTTCCGGAGGAAGTGTTTGGACCTTATAGAACTCAGAAAACTTGAGAGGATTAACTTTAGGGGTAAACAAACATTTCCCATCAACTTTAGGGGTAAACAAACATTTCCCATCAAATTTTGTTTGCCCTTTTTATTTTCTCATCTTCCATTTGGCTTCTCCATTTCCCTCATCCCCAATAGCTGTTTTTAACCTAGCAGATCCATCTTCAGCCAGGCCATTTCGATATCCTTAGTTCACATCCTTTACTAAGACTAGGGTTCTCAAATGGGGACATTTTTTTTTAATTAAATATGTTTTTATTGATTTTAGAGAGAGAGGAAGGGAGAGGAAGAGAAAAACATCGATGTGAAAGAGAAACATTGATTAGTTGCCTCCCACACGTACCTGGACCAGGGAATCAAACCCACAACCTGGGCATGTGCTCTGACCGGGAATCCAACCTGTGATCTTTTGGTGCATGAGAAGACCCTCAGCGAATCTAGCCACACTGGCTGCTGGGGTCCAACCCCAGCAGGTCCAGGGATCCCCAAAGGTGTGGACGGAGTCGGCGAAGAAGGGATGATACGGAGACAGCCTTCAGTTGATCAGCAGCCTAGCCAGGATCTCTAGCCAGGAACTCCAGCCAAGTTCTGGTCAGGATCTCCAGCAAAGTTCTGGTCAGGTTCTCTTGCCATGTTCTCTCGCTAGGTTCTCCAGACAGGTTCGGTCGCCAGGTTCTTTAGCCAGGTTCTCCAGGTTCTCCAGCCAAGTTCTGTAGCCAGGTTCTGTCCAGGATCTTTTGCCATGTTCTCTCCCTAGGTTCTGTCTCTGGATTCTGTCTCTAGGTTCTGTGTCTAGGTTCTTCAGCCAGGTTCTCTCGCTAGGTTCTGTTTCTAGGTTCTGTGTCTAGGTTCTGTGTCTAGGTTCTGAGTCTAGGTTCTGTATAGGATCTCCAGCCAAGTCCTGGTTAGGATCTGATCAGGATCTGATGAGGATCTGATGTTTATTGTCTTGTTACATCCGTATTTATACCAGCCAATTTTAATCCTGTCAATTTCTATTACAAAGGTTAGGGCGTTTCTTATCTACATTCCAGGGAGTAAAGATTATGTAGCTTAACTACCCGCCTGGCACTTAATTAAGGGGTTGTATCTCCTCCCTAACCTCAGGGAAAAATCCCCACCTGGGGAAACAACCTTTCTCGGAGAGGTGACCTTGGTTAAAACACATGGCACTAAGGAGAGCAAACATATTAAGAACAATATGCTATATATGCCAGGTCCCTTGAAACATATGCTGTGCAGATGTTTCTTTCCTGCAGCGACTGTGTCAACCAGCAAGGATGGACCGGCTTCCGGCAACTGGCCAGGGCTCAAATGGGGGCAGTTTGACCCCCTTCTTCAAGGGGACATTGAAGATATTTTTGGTTGTCAAAACTGGTGCTGTTGTACTACTGGCGTAGTGGGTAGAGGCCAGGGATGTTGCTAGACATCTTACAATACAGGACCTGTACAACAAAGAATTACCCAAAGTCTACTGCTGAGGTTGGGAAACTCTCACTTGGATTGCTGCCAGAGTGCAGCAGTTTGTCTACCTGCTTCCAGTTTACTTCTCATTGTTAAGTTTTCGAGAGTTCTTCGTTGTCCATGGAATGAAGTCCAAACTCCTTGCCATAGGATATAAAACAGTTCATGTTTGTTTGTTTTTATTGCTTTCAAACCTCATCTTTTGCTCTTAAGGTTGTCCCTCTACTAATGGTAGACTCAGTACTTACGGTAACAGTTTTCCCTTAACACCACGGTGCCTTTATGCTTCTACCTACACATTTTTCGAAGCTTATAATACAGCTCTATCTATCTATCTATCTATCTATCTATCTATCTGGGCACATTTAGTATTCCTTCAAAATTGCTCAGGCCTTCACTTTCTCGTTGAAGCCTTTGTTTCTGAACTGTTGGTACCTTGATGATATATGCACTTATTTTATCACAGTGAATATGTTCTGTTTGCATGATTTTGTTACCTAATAGATTATGTCCTCTTTTTGAGGGAAATGTGAGTGCTTTATTCATTATTGTATTCCAAGTACTTAGAACTGTTCCTAATACAAATTAGGCTCTTAAATGATTAGTTGAAAACACTTTTTTTTTTCCTCCAAGGCATTAATAATAGTTCAAATAATTTGGAAATTAGTTTACAAATGAGATTTTACTGTAATTTACTTCCTAGGCAATGAGACTTTTATATTTAATCTTTTTGCCTCTCCATCATACTTTCTGTTGCTGTCCTCTCTTTTCAGATGTCATTTTGTCTTCTGTTGCTTATAATGGTATTTTAGATGCTATTCTAAAAAAATATCATCTAGGCCATATCACTCAGTATCACATTAGATGAAACTTTAATTGCTGGCTATTTATTGAAGAAACTTAAATCTGTAATGGCACATGTTTGGAGATCTCTTTTACCTAAAAGGAAAAATCCTTAGGCTAATTATAGGTTTTGGGGGGGTGGGGAATGGTAAAGAAGTGGAGAAGTGATGAATTCCTCTTTGGAAAAATAAAAAACATATAATGAGAACTGTTAGGGAGGGAGAATGACACATTGGATTAACCCCTTTTCTATGTTGCTATGCCTTACTGTAAAAAAATAAATTTCACTAATTATAATTATTTTCGGGTCAAAAGCAAGTCTGAATTTGTAAAGGATCTTAACAGAAGAACATTTAAAGCAATAATTTTCTTGCTTTCAAATATATGACTGGAATTTAGGTGTCCTTGTATAAGTCCTATTTGATAGGTTAAATAAATATTCTTTGATATGTTGAACTTTTCTAATAGGATAATTCTTAGCCCAGACATTTTCTAAAATGTAAATTTTAAATTAGTGAAGGCTTAATTAAGATTATATTATTTTTGCTGTATATAAAATCTTTATAGTTGTGAACTCTAGTTACTAGAAATAACTCGCTTTAAAATTTTCATTTGTAATATGGTTCCGAAAGCTACATTTTCTCATCTACAAAAGTTGCTTCTGATGTAGACATAGAGGGTAATTGAATTGGTTCATGATTGCATAGAGGTGGAAATATTTTACCTTCATGAAACTTTATCCACTGCTATAATTATTGGGTATGTAGGTAGTACAGTTGCCTTTCTTATGCAAGTTAAAAATTTTTTTTTCCTCCTTAAACCAAAGATAGCATAGTGGAGGGCCTTTCATGGAGCGGAGAATCTAAGTTGCATAGAATTATTTCCATTGGCATAATTTACAAGATCATTTTGAAATTTAGGAATCAAGTGTTTTCTTCAGATTGTTTTTATTCTGGAATAAATATTTTTTATATATTTGTCTGGTTATGACACCTTTTATGAAGAAAGTTAATTTAATTATTTGCTTTAGCAGTCTTATGACAGAACAATGAGTAAACATAGATTTTAAAATTTCAGGTCTTAAATTAGATACCTTCTCAAGAATGTGTCATTATTCCTTAAAGGAAAAATATATATACAAATTCCCTTTAAGATTCAATTTAGTACAAATTTGATATAATTAAGAGAAGTAAGATGGTGGAAATTGTAATTAACTTTCACATAATAAAAAACCCTGCCAGTCACTAAGATTGTTTACTAACTTTATTATATACATTGTTAGCCAGTGAATTCATCCTTTTATTGGACAGTTTATTTAGCATCGGTCTATTCAAATTACTGAGATTTATAAGACCATTGATATTTGTGTATTTTTATTTAAAGTCTGAGATTACTTCTTTTCATTGAGTATTTTAAATTGAATGCCCACTTCAGATAGAATGACTTGTACTCTGGTCTAATGTGCAAAGAGTTTTAAAAATTTTTTTAAAAACTCTATTCTTTGGGCTTTAGCTTCTTTTAAGTGGGGTAATTCTCAGTAGGTATTGAGGCAGTGATATGGGGAGCTGAAAAAGGTATAATTTGGAGACAATTTTTTACTTGTATTTTGTACCCTTGAAGCCATTTCTTCATATTGCAATGAGAATAGGTAAGTGCCAGTGGAAAAAATTTTGTGAAGCGTTTTGCTGATACGTTAATTTCTATTCATTAAAGTCTTACCAACTTAGATTATAATGTATGTCTCTAAAACATCTGTTGCTTTATATAATATTGCTGTTCAGCCTGTTAGGACTGTGGGTTATTTTGAAGTTGTGTATTGGGGGTGGGGGTGGGAAATGCTGGGTGGTGAAAAGGAAATTAGAGGGAGTGTCTTAGAAATTTTGTTTTCTATTCCACCATTCCTGGTATCTTCTCTGTTAGTTATGCTAGTTTAGATTAGTGTGGGGGATGTTAGGAGTGGCCTGGTTTCTTTCCTTCTTTTTCCTAGCCAAGGAAGTATCGCCTGGGGATGCTGGAGGAGAGGCTAGTTCCGATGGGATCAAAGGCACGAAAAGCAAAGAACCCTATTGGCTGCCTTGCTGACAGGTGTAAATCAGGAGTACCCATCAATATGGTTTGGTGGAACAGACTCACAGAAAACAATTTACAGGTAAAAATAATTTTACTAGACATTTTTTGAAAGTGAATATTTTGGCTGCTTTCTGTGTCTGTGGGGTGATGGGTTTGAGATTGGGTGGCTTAGATGATATACATAGGTGATTTTTTTTTAACAAAAGTGAGGCTAGTGGCCCATTAACCAACAAAATGATTTTGTTTGGTGTTTTTTTTTTTTAGCTTTCTCTGCTTGTATATTTTCCTATTCTTTTATTAAATTTAATTTTTTCTTTTTGGATCTTGTTAACAGTTAATAAGAGCTAAAATCTTATTATTTATTGATTTGAGAGAGAAGAGAGAGAGAGAGAGAGAGAGAGAGAGAGAGAGACCGACCGATGGTTTGCCTCTCACATGAGCCCCGCCTGGGGATCGAACCCGTAGCCTGGTTATATGCCCTGACTGGGAATTGAATCCACCACTTTTTGGTGTATGGGACGACATTCCAACCAACTGAGCCATACCAGGCAGGGCAAGTTTAATTATTTTTAATACATTGAAAAATCATATTATAAAATTCATTATAGAAAATCTTATTTATTTGGAATTTGAACAACAGGAAGCTTCGTGGGGGTTTTTTTGTACATTTTTTATTAGGAAATAAAAATTGTATGTGAACAAACTTGTCAAGTGTTTGCTCTAAAACCACCTTCAGTAGTATGTTGACCTAGAGTTATGATAGATACATTTCAGTCTTTGACTCTGCCTTATGAGTGCTGAATAATGAAAATGAATTTTTATAACTCAAAGGCTAGCTTTGGTATGAAATTCTGAAGTACATACAAAATAATTGAATTATATTCACTTTCAATTTGGATTATAATTATTATAGTCTTATTTTTAAAAATTGGTAATTATATAATATAGTTCTATTAATCAGAATTTTAGTTTAGCTGGAAGTAGACGCAGGGGTCCTTAAACTACGGCCTGCGGGCCACATGTGGCCCGCCGAAAACATTTATCCAGCCCGCCGGGTGTTTTTGCCGCTGCTGCCTGTCCTGCTTAGCAGCAGACTCGTCCCGGGCCCGCAGTGCGCATGTGTGGAATGTCTGAGGGACAGTGAACTGGCCCCCTGTTTAAAAAGTTTGAGGACCTCTGATAGAGTATCTTTCCTCTCTGAGTAAATTTGTATTTTTAATATATTGCTAGCCAAAAGCCTGTAATTCACATACACGTACCATATACCGAAAAGATAAAACAAAGCTAACAACTTGGTTTTATTTCTGTCAATAAACTTGTATTATGAAGGGATTTCACAATATTTTGGTCTGTTTAATATTACTATCTTAGCAATACCCATGTTGCTTTGGACACAGAATAAAGAAGTTATTTTAAATATTGCAAAATGTGGTGGTATTTGCCCGACTGAAGTTTGGTAATAAATATAAAGATATAGTGGTGTGTGTGTGTGGGGGGGGTCCACATAATCATATACTTAAATTTATTTATTTATTTATTTATTTTTTAAATATATTTTTATTGATTTCAGAGAGGAAGAGAGAGGGAGAGAGAGATAGAAACATCAATGATGAGAGAGAATCATTGATTGGCTGCCTCATACATGCCCTCTACTGGGGAGCCAATCTGCAATCCTGGCATATGCCCTTGACCAGAATTGAACCACGGACCCTTCAGTCCACAGGCCAATGCTCTATCCACTGAGCCAAACCGGCTAGGTCCATATACTTAAATTTAAGTGTAAAGTTTTGGATATGTCAATTCTGGGTAGCAGTAGAGTTTACTGAATTTTTGTCTGAGATCAGAGGAGAGAGATTTGATGTGGATTGTTACAATTATTTTTCAGTTAAAAAATATTTTATTGATTTCTGAGAGGCAGAGAGAGATAGCAACATCCGTGATGAGAAACATCAGTGATGGTGATATCTTAATCTTACTAACATCTTTAGTAATTTTTTTGTTGCTGCTGAAAACAAGCCTTTTGCTGAAGGTTTCTACCTTTATTATTCAGTATTGTATCCACTGGGGATCAAGCCTGCAACCCAGCCATGTGCCCTGAACTGGGAAATGAACTGTGACCTCCCGGTTCATAGGTTGATGCTCAACCACAGAGCCACACTGGCCAGGCTTATTCAGGTTTAAAAAGAAAGTCTGAAAATAAATTGAACATGAACTGTATAAGAATAGATATAAGTGGAACTGAAACTGCTTGTAGGTTGTGGAGTGAAACACTGGTAAATACAGAGGCATAGCCATTCAACTTCACACAACTGCCCCTGTCCCCCTTATCCCAGTGGCAGTTTTCAGATACATCTTTTTAGCACAACTTGAAAAATTATTGTTAGGATAAGAATATATGATAGAATTATGCTTTATTTTTAATTAAAACATCTAGTAATAGATTTGCTTTCAGTGTGAGGAAGATTGAATTGGTGTTATCTGACTTATATTTCATATACTACTATTATGCTGCAAATAGTCCTTTTCCTTTAAGGGTATAAATATTGGAGGGGCAGTAATACCTCACACTGTGAGTCTTACGTTGAAGTACTGAAAATACCCATCTGGTTTGGTCTCCATTACTATTTTTGTGGATTCCCTAAATTGGGTACTTGGTGTTGTTTATGCAGAGCAAAGAGTATGTCAATACATAATTTTTTACTCTTAGGATTTTTATCTTCTTGTTGTATAAGAAAAATAATTTATATAAATATATTCTATACCAATATTTCTTTAGTTTTGTGTGATGTTTACTTTTCAATATTGTATATTTTTCACATAAATTTTAAAGGGATTGTTTAGCCAGATATATTAATCTTTCCTGTTTCATTTGTTTCCTTTTCATTTAAAACTTAGGTCTTCTCAATCCTAAAATCAGAGAGATATTTGTCTATATTTTATTTTAGTAATTATAGCTTTGTTTATTAAATGGTTACTTAGTGCCAGGCACTGTACTAATTTTTTTACATATATTATCTCTCTTGGTCTTCCGAGTAGTTTATGGGACAAAAGTTATTGTTAAATGAAGTATTGTCAGAGAAGCTAAGTAACATTAAGGCTAAGCAGTAGTTAGTAGAAGAGTAGAAATTTGAACCCATGTTTGTCAGACTTAAAATTCTACGTTTCTGTGTGATATAGCTCTAGTTGTATTAGAACTTTAATTGGTTTATTTATCTAACTCATTGACTGAACTATGCATACATAGTTTTCCAGACATGGACTTGACTCATGCGTGACTACAACGTTTGTAAGGTCAGCTTTTTTTTTCTTCTGAGGCATCTTTTTTTCAGTGATCTTTAACTAGAACTTTAAACATTTCCTTACATTGATATCTTGATCTTACTAACATCTTTAGTAGTTTTTGTTGTTGTTGCTGTTGCTGCTGAAAACAAAAGAAAACCAGCCAACCAACAAAAACCTTAAAATGGCAACAATAACAAAAAAGCCTTTTGCTGAAGGTTTCTACCTGTATTACTCATAATTGCATATACTCTATTTAGTGCTGGATATCTTTCAAGAGCTATGATTCCCAATCTTTTAGTGCTTAATAATCTTTTAATTTATTTTCTACCAAGAATCTCATAATATGAAAGAACCTGTCTACCGAGCATACATTTGCAACCTGTAATAGGCTAATTAGAGAATAAAAGGAACTTAATATTTTTCTCTTAGTCTTTTGTAGCTTGGTGGAAATGAAATTTAGTTTTCATATGGCTGTTTGAAATATTGATAATGCCAATCTGGTCTCTTTTACTATGTTTGTGAATTTTCTATGTGGGGACCCTTTGAATAGATTCAATCTTTTCTCTGATTTTTTTCTCCCAAAATTATTTTTATCATTTTATTATTTTTTAAATCTGTATTGTTGAGAGTATTATAGATGTCCTCCTGTTTCCCCCACTATTGCCCATCTCCACCTGGATCCCGTTCCACCCCAGGCCTTCACCACCCTATTGTCTGTGTCCATGGGTTATGCATGTATGCATGTAAGTTTTTTGGTTAATCTCTTCCCTCTGAGATTCTTCAGTCTGTTCCATGTTTCCATGCCTCTGGTTCTATTTTATTCATCAGTTTATTTTGTTCATTAGATTCCTTGCTTATTTTGATTTTTAAATTCAATTGTTGATAGATTTGTATTTATTGCCATTTTATTGTTCATATTTTTTATCTTTTTTTCTTTCTCTCTCTTCTTCTTCTTAAGGAAGACCTTTAACATTTCATGTAATACTGGTTTGGTGGTGATGAACTCCTTTAGCTTTTTTTTTTTTGTCCCTATCTGATCTTCAATTCTAAATGAAAGCTTTGCTAGGTAGAATAATCTTGGTTGTAGGTCCTTGCTTTTCATCACTTTGAATATTTTTTTGGTTTGTTTTTTTATAAAATATGTTTTATTGATTTTTATAGAAATAGGAGAGGAGAGAGTGAGAGAGATAGAAACATTGATGAGAGAAACATTGATAGGCTACCTCCTGCATGGCCCTCACCAGGGATCGAGCCCAAAACCCAGGCATGTGCCCTGACTGGGAATTGAACAGTGACCTCTTGCTGCATGGGTTGATGCTCAATCACTGAGTCACACTGGCCGAGCTCACTTTGAATATTTCTTGACACTCCTTTCTCACCTGCAAAGTTTCTGTTGAGAAATCAGCTTATAGTCATATGGGCCCTCCCTTGTAGGTAACTAACTGCTTTCCTCTTGTTCCTTTAAGATTTTCTTTTTGTCTTTAATCCTCGGCATTTTAATTATGTGTCTTGGTGTGAGCCTCTTTGGGTGCCTCTTGTTTGGGACTCTCTGCACTTCCTGGACATGTATGTATTTCTTTCTCCATATAAGGGAAGTTTTCTGTCATTTTTTCAAATAGGTTTTCAATTTCTTGCCCCCTCTCTTCTCCTACTGGCACTCCTATGATGTGAATATTGGTATGCTTGAAGTTGTCCCAGAGGCTCCTTATTCTATCTTCATATTTTTGGATTCTTTTTTCTTTTTGCTCTTTTGATTGGATGTTTTTTGCTTCCTCGTGTTCCAAATTGCTGATTTGA